TCGTTAAGATGACATGACATTGAGTTTTTACAACCACATTTTTTGAATTAAGTCGTCGCAAAAGATGCAGATTTAGCTTCGTAATTTATATTTTTTACGACCACATTTATCGTCGCAAATAATATTTTAATTTTTTATTTATTTTTTTATTATTTTACTAATTAATGTTGTATATTACTATATATTTAAACCAAATATTAAATATAATTCATGATATTATAATAATAAAAAAGAATTAAATAAAAGGAAATAAATAATAAAAAATGTAAATAAAAATTATTATTGTAAAAAGTAATTAATAAAATAAAATAAAAATGTAATTATAGTAGAAATGTGCGGAAATATAAATTGTTACATTAATAAAAATCTAATCTCCTAAATTAGCAGTATTACTAGAATCGTCGTCGTTATCATTAGAAGGATTTAGAGGCGGATGACATGGACGGACATACGGCACATGAGGAGTAACCGCTAGGAAAGTCATGTTAGGGTGCATTTGAGTGATGAAATCCTACATCATTTTGACGCTCTTGTATAGCTGGAGGTTTTGCTGGTAACTCTGTTGCAAGTATTTTTCTACGTGTGGGTCAGAATGTGTCGTAGAAGATCTTACCAAGCCTGAGCCAGATGACGACGCATCCCCTCGATAAACTTTTTGTGGGAGTGTGCGACCCACTTCAATCTTGTGTCCTCTGCGGGTGCCCAGAAACTGCTCCATAATATCCTCCTCGTTAACTGTTCTTGCTGCGGATGATCCAGAAGTAGCAGACTGGTCTGGATTTGCGTTTCTCTTTCTCCCTCCATCTGATGCTACAAATATTAAGAGGAAAATAATTAAATACATAATGCGATTTAAATAAAAAAATATAATTAAACATTACGAGTGTACTTACAAAAGTCTGCTCAGCTTGGGGATTAACTCAAGTATCCTCACGACGATGCATGTCCCCTCAGTTATCAATGACGGACATCGGCTGCTGAGTCCCTGTGGTAGACTGTATAGTAGTTTAAATGTATATGAATATAGTGTAATCGATTACCAAATTAACATTTATATTGAATAAATTATTAACAAATACTTACTTTTTTCTCGCGATGTTGGGAGTACGACAGCCGACTATGAAAACTCGACCACTTTTGGTTGCTACGATTAAGTTTATTGATCCCTGACTTTTTCTATTTATGATTACATTCAGCGTTAGTAAAATTAACCTTTATTATATATTTTATAAAAACAACATATAAAAGAGATTCAATTACCTGAAACTTGTCGGACCTGAATCTATCGCAGTAATGACCCCAGTGATTTAGATTCCTGAGGTTTTTGGGAGGGTGGGCCTTAACTGCACTCTCATTTTGTGAACCACCAATATCTTAAAAATAGTCATGGAGGTTACTTTTCTAATCCTTATAACATTTTACAGCCTCCCTATCGACCACAAACCTAAGTATACCATCGTCGCGGTCATAATCGAGGTTGAACCATTCATGTAATACAATATAAACATGTTAAATGATTTTATTATATTAAAATTTAGATTAAATTAAAAAACAATAAAATTGAATAATTTATACTAGCAGGTGCTGCTGAATCTCTTTTTTATGTTGGATGTCCACGTCCTTCCAGGCATCGTGGAAAGGCTCACAAAGTCTTCATTCCTCGAACGCCCCCACACGTGCCACGTCATTTCCTTAGCAGTGTGACGGGAAGCATATAGACGATTCAACCGATCCTTCAAAGGAAAATATCAGAGTACTTTCCACGAAACGTTTTTTCCCTTTTTGCTCTTCCAACGACTTGTACTACATACTGGATAAGATTGCAAAGTAGCATTCTGCTTCCAAAACAAAGCGTAGTCATACTTACACACATGAATTGCCTCGTAGCTCAGACCTAGTTTACTTAATAGCTTCTTCACCTCAAAATGCGATGTAGGTAACTCTTCAGGGAGTGCATCTCTCAGTAGCTTCAATATTTCATCCATACACTCATTAGACCACTTGTACAACACTTTTAGGATAAGAGATCTCTAAATTCATCGTAATGAGTATCTTCTATAACTATTTCTGTCTCACCCATTGTCTCATGATCATCACTAATTCCAGCCACATCATTTAGCATTGCAAACATCTCGTCAACAGGTTCACTGACAACTATAGCAGCAACATGTACTTCACCATGGTGAATCCATGTGCTGTAACTTGTATCAAAACCCCATCGATGTATGTGGGCTTTCACTGCTTCTGGTAGCAGCATCTCATGATTTCTACACTTGATACACAGACAACTAATACCCCCGGTTGAATTTTCATAATTCTTTCCAACCTCAATAAAAGCACACAAACCATCCCAGTACTCATCAAACAACCGGTTCCTTAAATATATCCAACTATTATCCATAGGCATCTCCACTACGAAGAATTTATAAAGTTTTATCAAATTTTATGAAAATTAACATTAGTTTATTAAATTATTTTATTAGTAATGTAAAAGTAATTAAAATTTTAACCTAATTTTTTTAATCATCACTAAATTTCATACAAATTTCAATTTAATTATCACATATTTCAATTCTAGTTCTAATTTACAATTCACAATTCTAAATCTAAAACTACAAACTAAATTAAAAACCCAAAATAAAACCACAAACCACAACAAATACCAAAATCAATTTACAAAATAATAAAATATTAACTCACAAAATCTAAACCCATAAATACCGGGGGTTGGAAAACGGGAAGGCAGTAGGGAAGGGAGAGTGCCGGCGGCCGGAAAACGGCAAGTACAACCGGAAAAGTGAGCGGCGAGGGGGAGATGAAAACTCTGCATTTTTGGACTTTTTTTCTCCACAAATGAAAGATTTAAGGAGAGAACGATATTTTTAAGCTATTTTTAGGGTTTTTGGACAGTTTTTAGAGAATGAGAGAAAACACGAGAGGCTCACCAGAAAAAATAGCGGAAGGAGGTCTACGATCGCGTTTATACAGGTGGTTTTTTGCGACGACATTATGTCGTCGCAAAAAATATTAAATAGTCGTCACAATTAATGTTAAAACGACGTCGTTCTTCTTCACCTCATTAATATTTCTGAGAATATTCTTGAGGAATATACCAATGCTCATTTTTTGCAACGACAATTTAACAATGTCGTCGCAAATAATTTTAAGGAAATCACCAAAGTTTTTGCCTTTTTTTTTAGGGAAAATTAAATCCCCCATTATTTGCGATGCCACTATTAAAAAAGTCGTCGCAAAAACAGTCGTCCTTGATAGAATTTTTCAGAACCCTTTTTTGTGATGACACATGTCGTCGCAAAAACAGTCGTTCTAAAAAGAATTTTCTGGAACCATTTTTTGCGACGATTTTTCAATATGTCGTCGCAAAAAATAAAGAAATATCTATAACCTATTCGCGGAAAACCGCCAAATTTCCCACCTCTTTTTGGCCACGTCACCGCCAGCTGTCACAATCAATATTTGTGACGACATGTCGTTATAAATAATTAACAAAGTGGCGCTAGATTGGTTTTAGCACCAACGGATATTAGCAACGACATGTCGTCGCTAATAACTTGTGAAATTGTAGCAACGACATGTCGTCGCAAATAGTGAAATTTTTTGTAATGACATGTCGTCGTAAATGCTTAATGCGACGACAAGTCATTCAAAAATTTTGTTTTCTTTTTAGCGACAACATGTCGTCGTTAATATTGTAATTTTAGTAACAATAAATGTCGTCGCTAATAACCCTTTTTGTTGTAGTGTTTAGTTATTTCCTACTTATTTCTATATTTTTGCCATAGAATATCTGTATCAATTTATTGATTATTTATCCGTTTTTGAATAAAATCTACCACGTTCATTTAAAAAAAAAAAAAAATACCTTACTTTTAAGATGTTTTAGTGCAAATGTATACCACACATATATATGTTCCTTGCAAATAAAACGCCTTAATTTCATACGCGCCATCCAATGCCCAACAAAAATCTCCTTCATATATTATATATTTTTTTAAACCAGAGTCCTTCATACAATTTTAAGGAAATGACGAACTAACTAATTTTATATAACTGTATACTCACTAAATTATAAACACACACACATATATATATTTATATATATATATATATATATATATATATTTTTCAAATGACATAACTCATTTCACTTCGCAGAAAGAATCAAAATCATTCAACAAATATACTCTTGTATCTGTAAGCTAAATAATATATATCATGAATGGCTTGTCAAGATTAAACATCTTATTCTTAGTAATATTAACGATTTAGATTTTCTGTTTAATTTTAGTATTCTAAGTAGTATTTAACCAATTACAAATAACATTAAATGACCAAAATGACTTGAATGGAATATGGGCTATTTTCGTGTATCATACTGCATATATATTATAACGAATGGCACGTATATATCATCCAAAAAAAAAAAGAAGCTGGTATTTATGATAGTCTAAGGGGATGTTTGGTACCTAGATTTATTCCCTTATTCGAATCATGGTTCGTGGTTCGTTATAGTATTTTTTCTCATAAAAAATACACGTAAATTGAAAATGATTCTAATAACATAGTTTTAATCTATGAACCACAACGTATCTTAAAAGATTGCTCTTTCAAACTATAAAACAACGAAAAATTATATCAGAGATTGCAAATAATTACGATCCACAAAATAATTGGTATATACATACCCACAGAAAAAAAAGGGAAGAAAAAAAAAAATCAGAGAATAACTAACAAAGCAATAAATAAATGAGGGCCTACTTTTTTGGTTGCAATGTATACCTAAGCAAGTCACTAAAAAATAAAAAGAATTGACTCAGCACCCTGTGCCTAACCAAGTGTGCGTCCAGCATATTCCCGATTTCTCCATAATTGTCCAAAACTTTCTCCTAAATACTACTTTTATTTATTTTTTTTTACAACTCACGATAATTTCTTTATCACTGACGTTATAAGACCCTATATATCTATATACATAATTGTCTCTCACACCTTTATATTGTATCCATTACTTTCTTCTCCTCTCTCATCTTTTCCCAACAATTTCGTTTATCTGTGTGTATATATACTGTATGTTGTAGCTCTGTTGCTATAACTGCAAGAAGAAGAGACAGATATGAGTGATAGTAATATTGAATGCATGGACAGCCTTGAAGAGAGAGTTTCTGTGTTTTTCGATGAATATTCCGAGGAATATCCCGATCGTTGCTTCGAATATGATCAATTCGATGATGGTGATCATCATGATCAGGATTCGCAGGACCCGGAAGAGAGGAGGACCTTGTACTGGGAATCCCAACATTCCCTTCTTCAGGTAATCTCTTTTACTAGTAATTATTTAATTTCATATATATATATATATATGTATATAAATATAAAAGTTCTACTTTTTTGAAAGAGAAGAAAAATGGTGTTTCGTTTCTGGTTTTTACGTCTTAATATAAGGCAGAGAAAACACAACAGTAGCGTGTCCGAACTCTGAAAGACTATAAATTTTCAGAGAATTATTTTATTTCTAGAATATTTTTTAGTCCTAATTAACTCGAGTTTTTCAAGAATATAATTAGGATCATAATCAATTTTCTTATCTGAGGGCTACAACTTTTTTGTTTATTATACTTTTTGGAGAATGACTTAGGCCCCGTTCACTTCGCTGATTCGTGTTTAGAATTCGAATTTTTTTATAGTAAAAAGCTCTCACAAACAATCACATCTAATTTTTTTGCTACAGTAAAAAGCTCTCATATAAAATCACATCTCAACTCGAATTCTAAACTCGAATCAACGAAGTGAACGAGGTCTTAATGTGTTTCCAAAAAGAGAAAAAAAAAAGTGTAGAGATATTTGTGTCAAATTTATGGTCAACAATCATTTAGACGTGCTTATTTAATTAGGTAATGGTTTTTCCTCTTTGGCGTGCCTAGTGCCAGCTAAAATAACAGGTTATATTTATGCCGTGTGTTTCGTTGTTTGGCACATAGATACTAAACTAGTGGACACAATTTTTTGTTTCGAAAGGAAAAGGCAGTGCTGACTTTTAGGTACACAACAGAACAAAAACTTTAAGAAAGAAAAAACCGTTAGAATACCCCGCTTAACCTGTTAGGTTATGCTAGAGATATGTAAAAGACCAACTTTCATGTGATGGAAATTAGGCATCATAATTAGCCTATATAAGATGAAATTTAGGCATCAATTTTCTTTGTTTTTCCCTATTATTCACTTGGTATAAATGATAGTTCATTTTCATTTTCTACCACTGAACAAACTACATAAATATATATATATATATATAATATATATAATATATTATGATGTGTGTTCTTTTCTATTTAATTTGAGTACTCAATTCATGAAACAGGAGGTTTTAGAGCGATATAGCTCAACAGGATCGAAGTTGAGGAAAGAGATTAGCCGAACTACAGATATGGCGAGAGAGGCAGGGTCTTGCTATTGTCAAAAGACAAAGAACGAAGGCTGCAACCACTGCTTGCGACGAACTGTCGTCGATATGCTTCGCGACCAAGGAATCAATGCCACTCTTTGTACATCCAAATGGAGGGACACCAAAAAGTTTCCGCGAGGTAAATAAACTAATACGCATGCCATTTCAGGTTAATTAAATATTGCTGCATAAAGTTAACAAATGGATAAGCTTAAGTATTAGTGTTTCTTATTTCATATTTGAATTACGAGGTGAGAGCTTCACAAGTAAGGAATACCTAACTAAGAATGCCCTAGATGTGAGTGTTTCTGGGTTGCTAAACTTTTGATAAAATATAGAGAAGCAAACGCAAAAAATTCACAGACAAATCAAACCATATATGTGTCTTCAAGAGCAGTAGTAACATCGTATATTGCTAAATTATTTCATACTAAGAGATACTTAAAAATGTGGCCTGTTATACAAGTTAATAAAATTCTGTTGGTTTCATATGGTTTATAAAATTAGATCACGCCAAGATCAAATGGAAAATTCTAATTTGATAGGGTATAAAAAAAAAATTTCTATTATTTAGATATAGTTTTCAATCATCAAGTTTCGTTAAATTGTCATAGATTATTTAATTTATATGATTATGATTTAATATAATGGTATTACAAATTATAGCTAAATTTGATCTACCAGCAAAAAACGATGTGTAGGCTAAAATTCTCCCAAATAGTATGCTAAAATATTATGAAAATAGGACTTCCATAACACATTACACGTTGTGCTTTCTTTAAATATTTACTTAATCGCTCTATCTTGGCCGAGTTCCCCAGATTAGTATTGCGCCAACTTATTCTTCCTTTCACCGGCGCCACCAAATATTAATTACTTAAATTGGTTGTCGTTAATTGCACCAAATATATATAGTCATACATTAATTGTTCTCAATGTGTCACTAATAATTCATTATTAAAACAAAAGGTGTGCGACTATACTAAAAGACCTTGTATTGTTAATGTAACTTCAGGTTCCCACGAATATATCGAAGTGATGGGTAGCACATCAAGTGGAAAGAAAAAAATCCCATACATAGTGGAAGTTGAATTCCGAGACCAATTCGAGATTGCGAAGCCATGCCAGGAGTATCAGAAAATCGTCCGCGAATTGCCGGAGTATTACCTAGGAAAACCTGACTACCTATACGCCATTGTCCGAATTGTGTGCGACACAGCGAAGACGTCCATGAAGGAGAGGAAAATCCACATGGGGCCTTGGCGAAAGACCAACTTCATGCTCATGAAGTGGTCAGCTAATTCCATAATTGATCAGAAGTTGAAGTTTACTGAATCCTCCGATAAGTTCCGGCCACTATCACCGGCTAGAAAACTGTGTTCGCAGTTTTCCGCGGCTCTTCCGGCTGTCGTAGTTACATAGAAGTAGATTTTTGGTCTGATTAGTAGAAATTTGTATTCAAAATTTTGGCTCTCTTGTAGTATCCGGCTTGATAAAAATATTATTATTATTATGAGCAGATTTTTGGCGGTTTATGAAGAGAATATAGGCACTATAGTGTGGATTTTTGCCTTTTATTTTTTTACACATGAATGAGACGTTTAGTTTATAGATTCAGAACTATAATTCATGATTCTGATTTTTAAAGTTTAAATTTTTTATGAGAAAAAAACACTGTAAAAAATCAAGAATTATAATTCATAACTAGAAACGAACCCTTAACATAAACATCCCAGAAACCTACATAACCCAATCCCATAACGCTTTGCCTAACTTATAAAGGTTGTAGCGAGTGTAGTCATTATTGCTTAAGGTGGTAAAATTTGTTCCTTTGCATGTGTAACTTCTGTTCTGTATTTGCATTTCTTTTGAGCAAAGCAGTATTTTTCTCAATTATATATTATTGGCCACTTTATGTGCATAAGTTGCAAGGATGTGTTGAAGGTTCGTTTTGTTGTAACTATAGATTTAGAAAATGAGGTTGAAGCTTGATGGATACCCTACTTTTGGTCTATTAATACATATAAAAAATTAATTAAAAGAGAAAAGTACATGATTTTTTATGGTTTTATACAGGCTCATTATTTATCATCTTAAAAAATAAAATGTTATTGTAGTCTTTTATTTTCCTTTTATTAATTAAATAAAAACCATTTATTTTTTAGTGCAGTGGCGTAAATAATATTTTTATACCATGATATTTTTAATTTTTTCGTTTAATTAAGATACCCACCTTCTTGTCAAAAGGAGAAAAATTCTACTAGCATGAGAAAAAACACAGTTTCTAAATGCATGTCCACCAAATATTTAAGTGGCTACAAATGAATTCCATTTTTTTTAATTTGTGTTAACGCCCATATTTAAGAGGCTTGAAAGAAACTGGTAGGATATTTTTTAAAGACATGGCCAATCGTTTTCAACCTTTCAGGCAGATGTCCACTGATGTCATCATCTGAAATCGAAATGTTCTTTGTTTTCCCCCAAGTAATGCAACTGACCTTTATTAGGAGAAAAGAGACGTATGCTAAATGCATCATCGTTGTTTTTGAATTTTGATAGTCAAGACAGAGAAGAGACTGTACAAGAATCCTCAGCAGCGGACCATTAGAGATCGAGACAATTGAATGAGAAAATATTTCATTTGAAGAAGTAAATCCGGAAAAATAATCTGTCTAATTATGCAGATTTTCCAAGTGCTTCGAGTTAGTAACATACTTCTAGATACAACGTTCACGCTAGTAGATTTATGCAATCCCATTCCAGAGCTCTTTATTTTTTTTTTTTTTTGGTCCCAACTACATCCTATTAATTTTGGTTAAAAAAATCTCGTATACTTTAGTTACATATTACAGACTCACATACTATATAGGACAAAACGGGAAAAAGACGAGGATATACAGAAAACCACTAAGTTACAAAGGAAAACATTGTTGAGGGGAGAACAGACTTAGCAACTACCTCCAGAACTGAATTTGAGATATGATTAGAACTCTCTCAGGTTTTGACTCCCTGGAAAGAGGATGAAAGAATCCTAAAGAGCCCATCTGGGTTATCAGCATGTACCTATTAAAGCTTAGAATGAGAATTAGGAGAGAGAGAGAGCACAAAAAAGTAGCTTTATGATATAAATTGTTGGAACAAAATGGAGAATGATATATAGGCTCCAGCTTCAGTAGATAATTTCAAGAATATGAAAGGAACGTACCCAATGGCCAGCATCCTCAAGGACATGCATTTCAACACCACCTCCCTCTTCAGCAGCAAGCTCCTCAGCAGCATAAATCCTCTGAAGGTCTTCGAGGGCCCACCTGTGCAAGCTTCTTTCGGCTTTCAAAAAATTCACATGCACACCTCGAGGCACGTCTTCAACAACTTTCCTGTGACAGTGAAAACAAAATGAGCAAGCCAGCTCTAACTTTCTTCTTTTTTTTTTCCCCTATTTTTTGTGGGCTCAAGTTGGAATCTTGAGCGCCCACATCTTTGAGAAGCATAGAACTCTTGGTTATCCCTAGGAGGCAATCTTAAAACATTGAACTTGAGATGATGTGGGAGGCAAACCACAAACCGGACCACTCAACTGACTCTCACTATTCGCTAGCTCTAGGCATGGCGTTACATATTTGGAGAAAGCGGAGATAGATAACCAGGTAATTCCCTGGTTACTTCTGTTTGAAAATCTTATAAACAAAAAGTAACTGCAAGGTGGACTCCTTATAGAGGATGACGGTACTATCAGTATCACCACATAAAGTATAATCCTTATTTAATTAAATATACTTGTAATGTTTCCTTATAGAGAGAATGACAGTGCTTTCACAGAATAAAAGTGTAGGATACTAGAATGTGTACTTTTACCACATTTAACAGCCATATACAGAATTCAATATTATTAAGCTCAAGTTATTACCATAAATTTGTCTCTTCGTAGGACTGATACATTTCAGAAATTCCCTTGAGATCAAACACCCATGAGAAGCTTAACGATGATGAACTGGAAGTAGTAGTTGGGCGAAGATTTGTAACAACCCACTGCATAAATGTATAAATAGAAAAATAATGCATAATCAGAAATTAAAAAAAAAAAAAAAGTTAGTCATGATGCTTATTTCTTTATACTACCACCACAAACAACAACTTTCAACTCCTCGTGTTCATATGGCAAATTGGTCAGACAGATAGGTTCCACATTTTCTCAAATTTTTAAGAGCCAACAGGGATGAAACAAGATCTTGTAAATATATAGTTACTATTTGAAAATTGTGATAACTAAGAACACAAGTGTTAAAAAATGAGCAGCCGGATTATTTTTGTTTTGAGTAGCAGGTTTGATATATAGTTTGAGAGATCTAAGACAAAGATATTCAGGTATCCACTGTCATGATAATACCAATATTGTTTGATTAAGATGGGATCCCGACCACGTTTGAGCCTCATAGAACTTCCTTTCAGTATTAAGAAATGTAATATGTATGAGTTTTTGATAGGTTCCCTGGTCCCCCATTACGTTTCACCTATGCTAGAAGAAGGCCTAGAAGAACTCGGGTTGATGTGGCAGGAGGGGATGAGCTGGAGGCTGATGTGGTGGAAACGGTTAGAGGAGAAAAAGGGGCTGACATGGAAAGGGCACAAAGGGGAGATGAGCTCACCACGGGGTGAAGGGCGTGATGTCTCGGATCTCGAGAAGGGCCTTGGAAGAGGTGAAGGGAAGAGAAAACGGTTAGGAAGATTGAGTGAATAAAAACAAGGTGAGCAGGGGAGGATTGGTATCGAATATACTCACTGTAATTGTCATAGACGAGCTTAGGCTCTAGGGAGTGCAAGGGGTCGCTCGAACACCCCCATATTTTCCTGTAATTCCTTCGTTAATTGAAGTCTGAATCAAATTCAATCCGTGGTTTCCTTACCATTTCTCATTTCTTGTGTGAATTCCTAAATTTCTAATCCAAGGTCTTAACAAAGTGGTATCAGAGCAAGTTCTTGGGATGGCACCAGCAAAGAGGGGGGACGAGAAAACAGAGGGAGTCCGGGAAGAGATCTAGCGCGATCTGGAAGTCTTCAAAGGAGAACTGCAGGAGACCTTTCGCGAGGATTTGCAGAAAATCCCAAAGCTGGAAAGGAGCGTAGAAATGATGATAGGAAAGCTAGAAGAATTGCTTGCGGCAGCGAGATGTTTCTTCCCCAGGGACGTCGGCGGCGGCCATGGAGCTTCCTTCGATTCCAATAGCAGCACCAGGAGGTGGGGAGGAGAAGGGAGGTGGGACGCTCGGCGGCGGTGGGCGGATGGAGACTCCTATCCGCGAGGGGGGAAATCAGGGTGAATGGCGGACTAGGCGCGTGGAAATGCTTGTGTTCGATGGGGAGGAGCCTGATGGTTGGATCTTCCGAGCTGAGAGGTACTTTGCTCTCAATCGCAGTGTGGAAGCAGAGAAACTAGAGATAGTCGTGGTCAACTTCAAAGGCGAGGCACTGGCTTGGTTCCAGTGGGAAGACGGCCGACGAGCGATCCGAGACTGGGCGGACCTAAAACGGCTGATTTTGGAGCGTTTCCGGCCATCGCAGGAAGGGAGCCTCTACGAGAAATTTCTGGCTCTGCGGCAGGAGACTACCGTGAAGGAGTACCGCCGGAGCTTTGAAGTATTGGCGGCGCCTCTAACTGGGGTAACCGAGCAAGTATTGGAGGGTAGCTTCATAAAAGGGCTTAAGCCTGAAATTAGGGCTAAGATCAGGATGCTCAAGCCTGTTGGGTTGGGCCGAATAATGGAATTGGCCCAAATGGTAGAGGATAGGAACCATCAACTAAGGCCCACGAGAATGACCTTGGGCCTACACGGGTCTTGGCCTAAGAACTCTTCTCCTTCTCTTGCGACACGAAGTGGAAACAATTTTCAAACTAGACCTACACCTGCCACCAAGAAAACAGGGAGTGCGCCACCTACCCCTTTCCGCCGACTGACAGACGCTGAGCTCCAGGCGAAGAGGGAAAAGGGGTTATGTTACCGTTGCGATGGCAAGTATTTCATAGGCCACCGCTGTCCGAACAAGGAATTACAGGTCTTGGTGGTCAATGGAGAAGAACCAAAGGGGGACTGTACAGGCGAGCAGACCACAGAAGCATGGGAGGATGCCTTGGCCGAAGACTTGGTGGAACTGTCGTTAAACTCCGTGGTGGGGTTGACTGCTCCTCGCACGATGAAGCTCAAGGGGAGGTTAAGGGGGAGGATGTGGTAGTCTTGATCGACAGTGGGGCAAGCCACAACTTCATCTCCATGGATTTGGTTAAGAAGCTGGGGTTGGAGTTGGATACCACCGGTGGCTATGGAGTGGTGATGGGAACCGGCCTCACGGTCAAAGGTGAAGGGGTGTGTCGTGGCGTAGCCTTGACCGTGCAGGATGTGGCCATTGTGGAGGATTTCCTGCCTCTGGAGCTTGGGAGCGCCGATGTGATCCTCGGTATGCAGTGGTTGGAGACACTCGGGGCCGTGGCAGTCAACTGGCAGGCTCTATCGATGAAGTTCAAGATCGGTGAAACTCCAGTGGTATTGCAGGGAGACCCCAGCCTCGGTAAGTCTCCGGTGTCCTTGAAAACTATGATGCGAGCCTTGAAGCAAGAGGGACAGGGGTTTGGGGTGGAATTGGGCACGTTTTCAGTTGAAAACTAGCAAGGGGTGGTGTCGGTGGAGGCAGTGCCCGCCGCCTTACAGGCAATGTTACAGCGACACGCCGAGGTTTTTCAAATGCCTCCTGACCTCCCTCCACCACGGCTGCGCGACCACGCCATACCACTGAAAGCAGGAACTTCCCCAATCAATGACCGGCCATACCGGTAAGAAGTTAGTAGGAGAAATGCTTGCCGCAGGATTCATACAACCAAGCGTTAGCCCTTCTCCAACCCGGTTCTGCTAGTCAAGAAAAAGGATAGAAGTTGGCGATTTTGCGTCGACTATCGGGCGTTAAACCGTGAAACCATTCCAGATCGTTTCCCGATTCCGGTCATCGACGAGCACCTCGACGAGTTACACGAAGCCACCATTTTTTCGAAGATCGATTTGAAGTTCGGTTATCACCAAATCCGGGTGCGCAGCGAGGATGTGCCGAAAACGGCTTTCCGCACCCACGAGGGGCACTACGAGTTCATGGTCATGCCGTTTGGGTTGACCAATGGCCCGGCCACGTTCCAGTCTCTCATGAACGAGGTATTTCGGCCTTTTCTCCGAAAATTTGTGTTAGTATTTTTTGATGATATCCTGGTGTATAGCCATACGGTGGAAGAGCATGCCGAGCATTTAAAGATAGTGCTTACCGAGCTAGCTAAACACAGCCTCTACGCGAATGCAAAAAAATGTTGCTTTGGGCAATCCACGCTGGAATATTTAGGCCATATCATCTCACGGGAAGGGGTGGTAGCAGACCAAGCCAAAATCGCAGCCATGATCAATTGGCCACCGCCCACCAATTTGCAGGAGCTTCGGAGGTTTTTGGGCTTAACAGGTTACTATCGGAAGTTCGTTAAGGGGTACGGATCCATAGCTAGGCCACTAACAAATTTGCTAAAGAAAGACAGTTTTCTATGGACGGCAGAGGCTGCAACAGCTTTCCACATCCTCAAGGCAGCCATGACAACAGTCCCCGTGTTGGCCTTGCCGGATTTCTCCCGGGCATGTGTGGTTGAGACGGATGCATCGGGGGTCGAAATCGGGGCAGTATCAATGCAAGATCAGCGACCAATCGCTTTCTTTAGTTAAGCCCTTTCCAACTCCGCTCGCTTGAAATCGGTTTACAAGCGCGAACTTATGGCCATTGTCTTAGCAGTTCAGAAATGGCGGCCATACCTCATAGGGAGGCACTTCATTATCCGCACCGACCAAAAGAGTTTGAAATTCTTGTTGGATCAACAGGTTGTCAGCGAACCTCACCAACAATGGCTGTCTAGACTTTTAGGCTTTGATTTCGAAATTCAGTATCGCCCCGGATTGGAGAATAAAGCTGCGGATGCCCTCTCCCGCCTTCCCACTTCTGCGGAACTCCAGTTGCTGGCCGCACACTTTGAGCTCAATGCGGAGGAGCTTCACCGCCACAATGCCAAGGATGCCAAGCTCTCTCGCATTATGGCGGATCTGCGAGCCGATTCAGGGGCTCATCCGGGCTTCACCCTGCAGCAGGGACGTCTCATGAGAGAAGGCCGGGCTGTGGTCTCACGCGATTCTCGACTGATAAACGAATTGCTCCACACCTATCATAACAGGGTGGCTGGAGGGCACTCAGGGGTGCTCAAGACCTATCGACGGTTGGCAGCAGATTGGTATTGGTTTGGAATGAAGAAGGACGTCGAGGCCTATGTTGCGAAGTGCGGGATTTGTCAGCAAAACAAATATGAGACCTTGGCTCCTGGGGGATTGCTACAACCCCTGCCCTTCCGGGCAAAGTATGGGACGATCTATCAATGGATTTCATTGAAGGGCTACCCAAGTCAGCAAGATTCAATGCCATCCTGGTCGTCGTTGACCGTTTGAGTAAGTACACCCATTTCATTCCGCTGAAGCACCCTTTCACTGCGACGATAGTGGCAGACGAGTTCCTTCGCGGCGTGGTGAGGCTGCACGGTATTCCCCGCACTATTGTCTCCGATCGCGATAAGATTTTTCTAAGTAAATTCTGGACATAATTGTTTAAGCATTAAGGCTCCACCCTAACTCGGAGCATGGCCTGTCACCCTCAAACGGACGGGCAAACCGAAGTGGTCAATCGATGTCTTGAGACCTACCTTCGGTGTTTCTCCTCGGATGCACCCCAACAGTGGTCACACTGGCTTCCTTGGGCAGAATATTGGTACAATACATCCTTTCATACCACCACACGAATGACCCCTTTTCGTGTACTCTATGGCCGTGACACCCCCCCTCCCCCCTGGTGCGCTATGGACTGGGGCTATCTCCTGTGTCGACCGTGGACAACCAACTGGCAAAGAGGGATGCCACTCTTGAACTTCTGAAACAGCAACTGCAGCGGGCGCAGCAAAAGATGAAGGCCCA